AGTCCCCTCAGGGAAAAGGGCGGCATATAAATCCCCAATAAAATCCTATAAAAAAAAAAAAAAGATCAGCATGCATGTATACCTACATCCGTGTACACACACAGACACACACACTTCCCTTCCAGCACTGTTCGCAGAAGGACCCTGTTAGTAAATTGCTTCTGGCCCCAAAAGATTCATCAGCACTCACTCAAGATCTGACACTTGCGGGATTTATGGGGGCCACTGGGGCTGGAGGAGAATGTTCAAGAAGCTCGGTGACCTTGGCACCTCCTAGTGGAAAGAATTAATGCATTCCGCCAAGCGCCAACCTCACCAATGTTCCCACTGCACCTTTGGCAAGGAAAAATCAGAACACGGAATGGAAGTGAAATATTTTAATTTCAATCGCACACAAAAACACACACATGATATCAGGCTAAAAAACGAACAAAATCCGGAGCCACGCTTTAGGCGACAGCTTGGCACGAGAAGAGTTCTCATGAAACCACCATTATTTTGGTCCTATAAAGAGTTTTATAAAGAACAGAGTAGGTTACACTGGAGAAACAAGATTCCTCCTTTCTTCTTCTCCTGTACAGCAATGAGACGCTGCCTTTGAAAAAAGAGGGATGGGGCAGAACGTAGCTTTGCAGCTACAGTTGTAGAGAGAAGGGAAAATACGTCATTGCAGATACAAAGATGACGGCCCCCAGTTTAAAAGTGGTGCCGCTTTGTCTTTCAACATTTAGGTTATTTTCACCCCCCTGCCCAGCACACACACCTGCTAGCAGTTCCATAGGAGAAATAAAGGGCAGGCAATGGTTTAAGGCCTTGGTAGGAGGGGAAACGACAACAGCAACATGGGACTAGTAGAAGGTAAAGTTGGGAGAAGATAAGCAGAGGTTCAGTTTCTTCTACGTCTACTGATCATTGGGATTTGGGTTGGCATCAGGGTACTTGGTGAGATCGAAGGTCAAGACTTTGCTGATGACACAGTCTCCTTGCTATTTGGGGGGAAAAGAAAAATGGTACAATATGTCACGCTGTTCTTGTTCTGCTACAGCAGCTAGATTCAAAATCAAGTATGAAGATTAAAAAAAATAAGTAGTCCTTGAACTGCAACTTTAATTGGGATGGAATGTCCATTACTAAGTGATGGTTGAGCAAAATATCATGTGACCACACCACTTAGCAACAGCAGGTATAGCTGTCCTGCTTGTGGTCTTTAGGCAAGGACCAAGACGGTTCCCCTGCCTGGGGCACCAAGTGCCCATATTTTGATCATGTGACTATAGAGGCCCTGGAATGGATGGAGCTTGAGGACTAGTGGTAGTTACCATTTTTTCTTTTATCATTCTACCTTTTTTTTAAAACAAATACAACATCCTTCTTTACATGCTATAGAAAGTGTATCAGTTGGTTACAAATAGACTTTTGCGCATCTCTTCCACAGTCAAGAAACATAGTTCATGTT